CCTATGTATTTAAAAAAGAACTTCTTGTTGTCCTTGATCCGGGAAGCTAGTCCCAGTCCCATCTCCATCTTGACCTTCCTGACTGCCCCCCTGCATCCCCGAGCAACCGCAGTATAGTCCTCCCTGGTGATAGCCCCTCCCTTCCATTGGGTGTGCGCCTCCCTTTTAGCTAGAAGACATTCCCGGATGCTTTTGGCAAGCCATGGGGGCTTCTGTGCCCTCCTGCTCCCTTTGATCCGTGTTAGGATTACCTCCCTTTGGGCTTGGAGGATCGTCTCCTTAAGGAGCAACCACTCTTCTTGGACACTGGGCTCCCCTCCCCTCCGGGACCTCAGTGCTTCCCCAACTATTCTCCTTAGCACATTGAAGTCCTCCCTCCTGAAATCTAGGGCTGCCGCCTTGCTGCAGGCCTTTGCCACCTTGCACTGGATGGTGAATTCCACCTGGGTGACAGTGATCATCACCTGCTGGTCGAGCACCCTCAGCCCCCTCACCAGGTCCAACAAGGTGTCTCCCTTGGTTTATATATATAAAAGTTTGAAAAATGCTGTAAAAGATCCCCCTTTCAAATGATCTCCACAGAGAATCATAAAAGCAACTTTCATACTTGGTCTTCACAAAGGGAGGAGGTGGAGAATGTGCACGTTGCCCACAAACTACTAATGCCTATTTGTGATGAGTGGGTTCCAGTTCACGTGGACGATAAAGATTCACCTCACCAAAATACACAAAAACAGTACTGATTTCCATTCCTCAGCTGCACACATTGGGACTCAGTATTCTCTATTTCACTGCTGACCTACGTCTACAAGCAAGCAACACTGCGATCCTGTCTCAGAATTGGGCCCTTGTGTAAAAAACATTTAGATTTCCCATAAACCCTCAAGTTCATGGTTGGTACCATGTTAAAGAAAAGTGGGCAATAGTTTATTGTAAGGGGCAAGGATTTTTGGGGGGTGACATCTTTTATTAGACTACATGCATGGCTGGGATAAAGTTAGACATAGAAAATAGTTTATTCTATTTCCTGGGATCACCAGCTATATATTTTGGTTGCTTACATTTCTGATTTTGATTGCATCTGTTTGGGAAAAGTATGAAACAGTAAAAGAAAAAAAAAAAAAAAGGAAATGCGCACACACCCACCACCCACACCAGGTTTTATTTATTAGTTACTAAGTAGAGCTTGCAATATTAGGAATTACAAAAATCTTCCAAGTGGGGAATATGATCATCTGGCTACTGCACTTGTCTGGAAGCGGAGACATCTGTGCTCTACCCTCATTGTTGACATGAAGTCCCTTAACCTCTGTTCCTTGAATTCTCCATAAGCAAGATGGAGAAAATGGTAATTAGATATCTCAGAAGGGTGTTGTAAGGTTGAATATTATCACAGTTTGTAAACTGCACTGGCAATAAACTGCTAAGTATTATTGATTAATACCATTTCATTGTACATTTGATTCATAAAATTAATTGGAAATACATTAGTGGGAAATAAATATGAAATGCTAAAACACTATGGCTTTGCAACGGTTTTTCTGACCGTAGCCACAGGCAAATGTGCAAAAAGGATATATAATTACTTTGTGTAAAGTGCCTACTCTTTACTTGTTCCTTTTGAACCACTAACAACTATTTTGCTGATACATCACAGTCCCTTACTTTTCAGTCACACAAGAGATTTAGGGTAATTTTGCCTCCCCACCTACAGGAAGGACACTAAAAGGAGAAGTGTTAATGAGGGTTCAAAGGGGCTATAAAGCGGAACAAAAACTATGATAACATGTGCCGAGTCCTCTAGGACACTACTCATTAACCAAGCTTTTCGGAGCTTGCACCTCTGAAATGAACACAATCATTAGCTGTGCGAGAGCCGAAATCAATGTAAAGATGATTATAGTAGTGCCATTTCAATGAATGGCCTCAAAGTCATTGGCAGTCCCTCAATATGAGGATGATAGTCTTCCCGTAAATAGGGAAGTAAATCGGTGAGTTCACAGAATACAGGACTGAGGAAGCTGATCTGAGATCCACATGTTCAACTGTGGACGTGGCAAGTAGTTCCAGCAGGAAGGAGCAGATCCTTATGATGGTGGGTCACACCTCTTTCCTCCGTCTCTCTTGTCTACCTTCCTCCACAATGGGGCAAGTTTGGCTGAAAAGGTGGATGCCTTGTCATACATCACGGCTCCACTGGAGACGATTCTGTGCTTCAGTCTCCCCAGTGTTGGTGTTAACATCACATTTCTTCACATTGGCTTCATGATGTTCTTATTATAAACATTATTTTGCCAAGGTTTGTCATTTTGATTCAAACACATACTTGGCACAGAGCATCTCCGACATAAATACCCACCCTTCCAAATTGGACGGCTGCTCTCATTTCCATGTCAACAAACAGGGGAAGCTGTTACATCTGTGATTTTATCTGACATTGGAGAAAATCCATTCCTGCAGCCTCGAGATGCTTTCCATTTTTTAAAGCGGTGCGTGGTTGAAACTTGCAAAAATATTTCATAAACTGTTGCTAAATCCACGGATGCAAATACTTTCTTCTGAATCCACAGTTGCCTTCTTGAGCTTGTGAGCAAGCAGTTAAGCTACAGAGATTTAGTGCAGCCTTACAGTGGTTTTTTTCCTACTGAAATACCACAAAACCAAATGGTAAATACCATTTTTCTCTTGTCCCTGCAGAAGCAAGACAGCCTGTGGTATCACACGTTTTCTTATACCTCAAACAATGGCACATTTCTTCTTTTAGCAATTGATTAATATTTACTGCTACAGTAACTGGCAGTTTAAATAAATGCTAGCACTTATGCAGCGTATCATTAATAAAAGAAAAGAGAAAGAAATATGACACCCACTGTCAAGTGACAATGGGCTCTTCCACATGAATAAGTGGGGTGATGTGACAACCTTTTAAAAGGAATTACTGGGGCATTGTAACAACAATTTAAATAGAACCACTTTATCATCCAGAAGGGAAGAATGCTAGCAATATGTACGATTACATACGTAATCAATAAATGAGGCATCTTAAGTTATCATCTCTAAGTGACAAGAAAAATCAGTGGGAGAAAAAAAAAAAGCACATGTACATTAAACTTAGAATTGAGTGATGGTGAGAAATACATTTCACACTGTGCTGTTTTTAAGGAGTGGCTTAATTCACTCCTGTTTTACTGACAGCCCTAGGCTATAGTAAATGATTTTTTTTTTTTGGCGAGTCCTTCCTTTCAATTAAACCTACACTCTTCAGGATAGACAACTTTAGGTCAAATATCTATTTCTTTGCAGTTCTAACAGGCTCAGCTCACCCTGCCACATACATACTGAATGCTAGTGAAGTTTCAGTCTAAGAAAAGCCAACTAGGATGCTTTATTACTTTCTCATATCATGCTGCTGTCCAAGCAAGGCAGGCTATTTTGTTAGGTCCACTCTCTGTTGAAAGACCATAGGAGAGGACTCTTTCACTGCACTCATAAGGTGGCACTTGGACTCATTCTGTTCTTACGGGATAGGGAGTTTTACAGAGGAACGTCCTTAATAGTGAACATCCAGTCCCACTTGTTAAGGTTTCACAGCAGGAGGACAAACAACTAATGTCTGGTACAGTAGCAGAGAGAGAGAAGGTATATTACCTAGTTCTCACCTGCTGGGGGCTTCTCTCAACCCTGGAAGCAGATATAGAACTGAATAGGTAGCCAGTAGAGAGAAGACAAGACCAGCACAGTGTGCTCTCAGCGGTTTCCCTTACCCAAAAGTAAGATGCTTTGTGCAGGAGTCAGCTAATCCTTCTGGCCCAGGTGCCAGCCCTGCAGTCTGGAGGTATCACGAGCAGCACAGCTGGATCTCCATCCAAAGAGGAAGTGTATAGCTTGCCAGCTATATGAATATTTTTAGCACAAACACCACTTTCAGAGGATCCCCAGGCCAAGAAATATGCAATATTCTGAAATCTTTATTTGTAGGAATAGTCTTCTGATGATGCAATTGACTTGCATGAGGCTTGGGAAGAAAGATCCCCATATATAAAAACAGCCAAATTAGGAAACCCTGTAACACAATGGATGCGTCCATAACCACACGTATTACTGCTCTTGTCTTTGTATCCAAATTATGGGTTTTATTTTTTGCCCATAAATTGTACGGCTCACTAGATTGTGGGCAATTAAAAAAAGCAGGATATGCCCTTTCTGTCTCTGAGTGGCAATTGCTGTGTCTCCAGCCTCTCCTCCCTCCCTCCTTTGCACTGCAGTAACATTTCCATTCACAAGTAGGCACAGGTAAAATTGACAAGTACCATGGTTTGCTTCATCTCGTTGGCAAGCAATATAAGAAGAGCTGCCTGGTTTTAACTGTTTTCTTCTTTCACATTCGTTGCTTCCAGCCAGCTTTCAACCTCTTTTTCATCTGGTTGCTTTGCTCCGATTCAGAGTCAGCAAGACGAGACATTTCTTAAAAGTAATTCAACCAAAATTTATATCGTCACTGCCATGTTCAGGGAGGAAAGGGGAAAAAAACCTAAACAAAAGCAGCTGTGCAGAGGTATTTTCTACTCCAGTAAGCCCTTTATGTTCATACAAAGCCGGGAAAAAAAAGTTGAAAAGTGTCCAAGACTGTAGTAAAGCACAGTTCTCTTACTGAAAACATAAGCAATAATCCCCTTAACCACAGTGTCATCTCTATGATTTGCAGCTCATAAATGTATTTTTTTCCATGGAACAAAGGATTATATAAGTTATGAACAGAACTGGATACCACTAAAAATGTAACGATCTGCACCTACGTGTTATAATAAACCTTGAGTTACAACCTACCCTTATGCGTAGAGCCATTGTGCTTCTGTCGTCTCTGGCCAAATTCTCATTTTTGTGTGACAGAGGAAACACCGCACAGACAGACATAAAAGAAAGACCTAGATAAGCACAAACACACACCTGGAAGGACAGCAGCCCATCAACTGCTCAGCAAAGACCAAAGTGTTTCTTACCTTGCCAGCTGACACCAGTAAGCATCTAGCGTGTGGAAACCCAGGATCTTACTCCCTTCTCATCACAGTAAAAGAGTTCTCCATAGAAGTCTAATCCTTTCCCTTAACTCAGGATCCTCCCTGCCTGAAAGTTAACTAAGGAGAGCCTTCATGCCCCTTCCCTCCAGCATCAAGTTAGCAATTGGCCACTTCCTTCTAGCCCATTGCCCTGGACTCCGGGACTTCTTTACATCCCAGCAAGCCTCTCTCATGAGCTCAGGCTTAGTCCTTTCAGTTGTAAAGGGAGAGGGAGCAAAGCAGAGCTCCAAACTGTTATGGACCAGCTTCTTTACCACCAAGTTCTCCCTGCTCTTTAAAGCACTCTCCTACGTTGTTTATAATAGCCAGAAAATCCAGACTAGCGATTGCCCTTACATACTGTCAGATTATAACCCTTGACTCTTGTAGCTGGTACAAGCGCCAGCAAGGATAGTGATTTAGGGGTGGGATGCTGATGGAGTGAGCAAGAGGAAAGTCAGGAGAATGGCCTACTAGAAACCTTAGTGAAAAATCCTGGGCATTATTCTAGGCAAAGCTAACAAAGATAATGATTGTTAAGCATGACCCACGCATTAGACTAATTGGATCATTACCAGAAACATAAGATAGATAAGGGTGTTGTGACTGCCATCTAAAACCATTGTTTAACAGAAGCAACTAGTGCTAGTGCATATTTACTTCTGTGCTGCGAGTGTTAACACTTGGCATCCACCCATGTTGTGCAAGGTGGGACCAAGTTAAACAGCATCTGTTTCTTGTCAGTGTTTCTATGACCCAGACCCTTAGTCCATCTTGGATCCCAAATCTATCATTCATGGCCGAGAAATGTCAAAACCTGTGTTTGGAGCTAAATAATTGTTTCATGTACAGTAGGCAGGGTATGCCAGGTGAAATGCCAATCTACTGGACAACAGAAGTCTGCATCCTAATCAAGAGACATGACTTCCCTTTGCTTCCTTCCCTGCCTCAATTCTTGTCTTCTTTTCTTTCTCTATCTTTACTTTAGATCTTGAGGGAAACACTAAGGGAGGACAAAGCACTGTAGTGTTTTCCTGATTAGATATAAGCTGGGATCTTTTAGGGTTGAGCAAGACTGCAATGAAGAGAGAGCCTTAATTCTTCAGGGTCAGAGGTGACAATGCTAAGGCAGTAACCAGGGTTTTTGGTTGTAGTTGTGTTGGTCTAAGGAGACAGGCAGGCAAGATTCTTTGAGTAGCTGTGATATCTTTTATTAGACCAACTGACTAGCTGGAAAATAAAGTTCTTAGCAAGCTTTTAGGTGCATTCACTCTTCGTCATGCATAGGGAATCTCTGCTGGTCTGAGACTCCAAGGAATGAGAGAAGCTAAAAATGAGGCAGGATGTCAGTGAGAATGTAAATAGGTAGAAATTAGAAAGGCAAAGGGTAAAGCAGAGAAGGGAGGGGTAAGAAAGCAGGGAAAGAAAAGGGTGATATTACAGTGATAGAATACAAGGTAAAAAAGAGGCTGTCTGTGAAAAAGGAAATAGTTGGGGATCAGGAAAACAGGAATGAGAGAAGCCAAAGTTGTGACAAGATGCCAGTGAAAATATAAATAGGTAGAAATTAGGGAGGAAAAAAAGGTAAAGCAGGGAAGGGAGGAGGAAGAAAGCGGGGGGGGGG